CCTCCTCTTCTTCCTCCTTTTCCTGCTTATCTTACGTTTCCTTCTCCTCTTATTCTTCCTCCTCTTCCTCCTCCTCCTCTTCCTCTGCTTCCTCCTCTTCCAGCATCCTCTGTAGCTGACCCGCCAGGGACCTCCTGACCGAGGCAGCCCCAGCACCGCATGGTTCTGGTCCAGAGCCGTGATGATGGAGGTAGACTGAGGCAGGTGCTGCCCACCCTTCCAATGGACCATCCTCCCGCTCCCTGGCCTCCATGGGGCGGTGCGTGGTCAGAGCACCCGTGTGAGGCCCCTACAAAGAAAAGCCTGGCGCTCATGCAGTTAAGGAGTCCCTGGACCGTTCTGAGCCTCAGTTTCATCATCTGTGAGCTGCATCACTTGGACGAGCTGATGCCTAAAGCCCTTTCTGGCTCTAACTGCTGCGATTCTGTAATCAGAAGAAAACTCCATTCCCTCTATGAGCCTGCCTTAATTCTGGGAAATTGGGGTCTGCACACCTCATCAGGCCAAGTTCATTGATGCCAGGCCCTGCCCTGCCAGGTTCCGTTCTCTGGAGGGTTGGTTTTTTTTTTCAATCTTCCCTGGTGTCCAGAGCCTTCTGCCCACTCCCCCTCTCCTCCCCCCTCCCGAGTTTTCCTTGGCTTTTCCCGTAGGGCCTATGGTCACTCAAGTTCACCCCTGGAAGACACACTCTCTTACTGAATTCTCCCAGCAGCCCCCTGGGAATGCCAGCCGTGATGGACACTGGGAATCACATTAGCAGGCCCGGCCTGGAGGGTGAAATGGCCCTCTGCGCTCTCCTTCCCTGCCGCTGGGGCCCTGACTAGAAATTATCAATGTTGTTCTAGAGAGTTCACCGCAGCCTTCGCCAGCAAGCCTCGGCTCCCTCGCACCCCCGAGATACGAGGCCTGAGTCTTCGGAAGACCGAGGCGCCAGCCATCGCCCCCCAGTTCTCTCACTCGGGGCCCCAGCAGACCGGCCGTCCCAGCTCCACAGGCTGCTCCATGAGAAGCAGACAAAGTAAGTAGCAGCTGCCCCTGCTGTCCAGCACGGCCCCCTTGGGTCCCAGGCCAGGAGAGCAGGCAGGGCCCTGAGAGGATCTGGGTCAGCGCATGGAGCTGTGGAGAGGGGCAGGGGCCTTCCCCACATCACCCAGTGGGATGCTTCAGGTGGTCCTGGGAGCCTGCAAGGCAAATCACTGTGTACTGTGTGCCAAGCCCCGGGCTGGGGAAGAAGCAGGCCCTGCCTTCAAGTCGCTTATGTTCTGATGAGGAAAAGCCATGTGCAGTAACAGGTGTGGACACTCAGAGGAGGGGAAGGTGGCTTTAGGCACCAGGACTTAGCCATGCTGGCCCGTGACCTGGAGGGGCCTCCCTAGGAAGGCAGCGTTTGAGCTGAGTCTGGAAGGAAGAGGCAGCAGGAAGGAGGGAGGGCATTCCTGGAGAGAGGGCTCAGCCAGTACAAAGGCATGGCGATGAGAAGTCTCTGGCTGAGGAGCACCAAGGTGTTGGTCAGGGATAGAGCCAGGAGCCCAGCTGCTCCTGCCTCACATCCAGCGTCAGCTGGAAGAAGATGGAGGGTCAGAAGCCCTGGAGAGGCAGCCGGGAAGTGGGCTTTTATTTGGGGCTGGAACGCCCAGCCCACGGGGTTCCCCTCCTGTTTGGGCCAGCCCGATGTGAAAGCCACAGAGGCCATGGCCTAGGCCCAGGCTTCACATGGTTGGGTGGTGACTTCCTGGCCCTTGGCCCCTGCCCCTCGGGCTGGGGGGTGGGGGCTCTGCCCTGGGGTAGCCTCTGAGGCTACATGTCTGGCATTTCCCGTGATGGGGGTCCTGGCCCCTTGCTGTCCACCAGCTTCGCTCCTTTCAGTTCCCCGGGATAGCCCCGAGCCCCAGAGGAAGCTCTGGGAGGAAGGGAGGCCCGAGCAGCCCGGGACCTTTGCTTTTCCAGGCCAGGCACCAAGTAATAAAAGTCACCACATGACGACAGCAGTGATACCTGACCCAGCACTAACCTGGCGGGTGGAAGCATGAAGCCTGGGGAGGATGAGGCCCTCTTATCTTTCCATCTTCCCTAATTCAATTCCATTCTTTCCACTCAACAGACTTTTACTAAATTCCCGTTGTGTGCAGAGAGCCAGGCCACCTAGCATTGTGATAAACACAGCCATTTCCCCCAGGAGCTTCTAGTCTGGAAGGGCCTCAGTCGGTACCTAATAAGTGTTTGTGCAACGAATCCCGTCTTAGAAGGCATTTCTTTTTTTGTTTGTTTGTTCGGTTTTTTGTTTTGTTTTTGGTGAGGCAGTTGGGGTTAAGTGACTTGCCCAGGGTCACACAGCTAGTAAGTGTCAAGTGTCTGGTCTGAGGCCGGATTTGAACTCAGCTCCTCCTGACTCCAGGGCCGGTGCTCTATGCACTGCGCCACCTAGCTGCCCCCTCAGCAGGCGTTTCTTGAGAACCACTGTGTACGGGGCACTCCATAGCCAAAATCGTGCTTAACCCACAGTCCAAAGAGGGCCTCAGAATCCCAGAATCAGGAGGCCAGAGTAGCCACGGATTGGAGGTGCTCCGGGGCCAGAGCTGGGGCCCAGACCTTGTGAGGCTGCCCTGGCCACCCCAGGGCTCTGCCCCATGGTCCTCCTCCATCCAGACAGAGCCCCCATAGTGGGCTGGAAAGCCAGAGAGGACCCACGGGTGCCAGGGGGCCCTGTCACTGGCGGGAAGCGGGCCACTGTACCACTAGGCAAGCGCAGAGAGAGAGTGGGTCCCAGAGACTCGGGACCTGGGTTCAGATCCACCTTGTCACTGTAGGCGTGCCTTTTCACTGATTTGGGCCTCAGTTTCCTGGTCTGTAAAACGAGGGCATTGGACTTGACCAAGGCCTCTGAGGTTCATCCCCATGCTGTGACCGCTCTCAAGCAGTCATCCCATTACTGCCAGCTGTAACTGACTGAAACAGAGAGGGCTGAGTGGGGGACCCACTGACCAGAGCCCAGGTGCCATCAGTTCAGTTCAACTGAGCGAGCACCGGTTGAGGCCTGGGCAGCTTGAGGCCGGCCGGCCGACCCGTGGGGGAGCTCCAGGGACCAGCAGTGACGTGCAGGCGTCTGGGAGGGAGGGGCGGGCGTCCTTTCATGGCCGGGCCGCCGGGCGACAGGCATCGGTAATGAGCATCTCCTTGCTTCTGTCCAGGCTGCCAGGCCTACAGGAAGTGAAGACTGGTCCTGTCCTCAGGCATCGATCGGTGAGACTAGCCAGCTTCCTGGACAGGTGGCGGCTGCCGTCATCTCATGTGGAGCAGGCGCCTCGTGGCCTCTCCCTGGCCTTTGTGGGGACTCAGAGTCAGAGGCCTCCGAGCAGTGCCAGCCCCCCACCCCAGCGCGCGCGCACACGCAATAGAACCGGCTCTTGATTCATGGTTACTCCCATCAGGGCCTCTGGGCCCACAATGCTGAGACCATCCCCCACCAAGGGGCTTCCTGGGGAAGGCTGCAGCCCAGGGCTGACTCCTGGGCCTGGGGTCCGGCTGCTTTTCCCACGAGGCCACAGCTGCCCCGAGACCATCCCTGTCAGGCTGTGGACACTGCCGACTCCAGCTTCCCAGGCTTAGCTATGGAGATTTCTTAAAGACTTCCCTCTTACCTTTGATCAGCCATAGAATGTGGCCGGGAGGGCACTCACTATGGCACCCACCATGGCCACAGCAGTGGGAGCAAGTGGAAAATAAAATGATCCCAGAGGACAGATGGTAGACAAGACCCCTCCTGTAGCAGAGAGGCGGGGAAGGGCTCCTGGGGCAGAGGGCTGGCTCCAGCGTCCAGGGCCTACCTTGTTTGCCTTTATCACGAGGGAGGGCGCAGTGGGGGGAGGGCACGTCCCAAAATGACTGATGGAAAACCCAAGGGCGCTAATGAAGTTGATTTGAAAAGGAAAGAGGGAGGAATTCTTCACTCCTTCATCATTTGTGAAGTGTCTCAGAACTCCCCCATGAGCCAGTGGAAGCCGCTCCATCTCCCCACTTAAAAGGATAATTCCTGCAAAGCCCATTGTGAACCTTAAAGGGCTAAGTAAGTGGGAGCTGGGCTGAGTTCGATTTTCTCCATGGTGCATGTGTCCAGCAGCAAACCGGAACCCGAATGTCACCCGTCCTTCCATTTCCCACCATTAAAAACAGTAGACCTTGTTTCAAGGGCTGCCAGTCCCTGGGTCGCACACCGGCCTCCCCACAGCCCGTCCATCGCCACATGGGTCAGTCAGGCTGAGGAACGCACCGCGAGAGCCCCGCTGTAATCCTGCCGAGGTTCATGTGGCCATATCGTAACCCCCCACCCTGTCGGTGACCAGGCAGAGCCGCCAGCCCATAGCATCCCAGCTCAGTCAGAACCACCTTCCTCCTATTGGCAGCCTGTATTCTCCAAGTCCTATTCTGTTGGTGTCTAAGTGGACACACATCCGGGGTGCCCAGAGGCCCTGCCTGGCCCCACCTTAGACCATCTTCTGATGCCCAGACTTAAGTAACCAGCGTCTGCTCCTTCTAGACGGGAGAGGACGGGTGCTCCACGCAGGGAAGCAGATGAGGAGGGGCTCCCCAGGCCAGGAGCGTGCCCTGGCCCCTAACAAAGGGAGGCACGGAGGGGGGGAGGGAGAGGGCTTGTTTTCCTCTCTGGAGACAGAAAGTACAAGGGCAATGACTCTTGGATGCGTTCAGAGTGTGTGTGTGTGTGTGTGTGTGTCCCAGCATCCCGCCCTGGATGCAGGATCCCTTCTCTAGGACCAGTGGCCTGCTAGGAAAAGCAGAGGACCAGCCCTTCCAGGCAGGTGGCTGAAGCCCATGAGTAACCAGCTAAGAGCATCTTCCTGTGCTCCAAGCTCAGCCTGGTCTCCCAAAGCCCTGACTCTGCAGCAGATAGCACAATGCCTAGCACACAGTAGGTGTTTAATATGTGCTGGTGACTTGGCAACTTGAAATAGGATGGGGTGGAGAACTGGGAAGACAGATTAGCCCTGGCTCCTCCAGCTCTTCTCCCTCCTTATAACTTGCCCCGAAGCCCGGCCTGGGGCAGCCTCTCTTCCACAACAGGACAGAATTTAAAAAACAAGGAAAATCCTTTGGCAGAAGCAAAGGACAGCTGACTTCCTATTTTCTTCCTTTAAATCTGGCAAAGCTTAAGCCGCAGTACAGTCTAGGCGCACGTACACACTACACATATACCCAGGCACGTGGACACATGTACAGACATACACACATGGATCCATGCACATATACATGTACATGTGTACATGCACACATACACGTGCATACACACCCACACCCCCCTAGAATAGCTCTTTGGTTGGTTACCAAATCAGCAGGAGGGGGACTTTTCCTCCCCTACAATCCCCCACTCCCCCTCCAGAAATCCAGTGAGTGTGAACACCTTGCTCGTTCATCTGCCTGACAGCCTCCGTGGGGGCTGCCAGAGCTTCTAAGCAGTTTGCTTCACAGTCAACATCTTGTCTGGGAGGGAAGGTCAGTGTCCAGGGACAGAAGAAACTTAGCTTTGAGAGCCTCCCCGAAGGGATCACTGGTCTCATGGAGTCTTCCTGGGCAGCCATGCCGAGTGGCTGTTGGATTAAAAAGCAGAGAAGGCAGTTCTTTGAGAGACTGGGGCCGGGGTGTTTTGCCTCAGGATGGGTGTGCATGCATATATTTATGTGTGTGCATATGCGCACATATGTGTGTGTGTGTGTTTTCACAGATGTATGTGCATTCCAAAGAAGGGAGAATGGAGACCAAATGAAAGATGACATATAATGTGGTCCTGCTCCAGGGGGTCCCCATCTCTGCAGATGCCTTCACTCCGTATTTTGTGGGCATGGGCAGTGTAGACATGTGCCCATTTGCTTTCTTAGAATCCCCCTCTGGCTCACCCACAGCACCAGCTTGTTTAAAGACCTTGAATGGAGGGGCCGAAGTGGGCAGTCTCTCATGGGGAGGAAATCAGTCTGGAAACAGAAGTGGGAACCAGATTAGGAGGTGTCCATCAGAGGAGCTGGGAGGTCAGATGGTAGATGGTGGGGAGTGGGCCGCGTCAGGAAGATGAAATCTCCCCTCAGCACTGAGTAACTGTGGGAGTCAGTGACCTCTATGGACCTCAGTCTTCTTATCTGTAAAATGATTTCTTGACCTCTGAGGCCCCTTCCAGCTTTAAAGCGGTGATCGGTTCAGTTTGCATGTTGTCCTTGAGGCGGGGGGGGGGGGGGGGGGGGGGGGGGAGCCAGTGCAGCTTCCAGAGCAGGAGAGTGGCGGGCAGCCCTACTTCCTGCAGCACCGTGAGAGCCAGTGGCCCCGAGGAGAGGTTGGGTCACCCATGGGTCTTAGGAGGCGGCTTTTCAGCAGCGGTGCGGGCAGCATCACTATCGGCGTGTGGAACGCGGGCCAGGCTTCCTTCCGAGGGATGATAAGAACGCTGCCCCAGCCCTGCCCCTTGCAAGCCCGAAGCCGCCCCCCCCCCCCCCGGTCTCTCTCCAAACCCCGGCTTGACATGAATGCGCTTTTGTGAGGCTCCTCTGCTCACGGCCAAGTTCGCAGTCACAAGCCATTCATGGGGTCCGGACAGGAAAACCAGAGAAAGAAGCATTCAGATGCAATCATCACCATTTGTCCGCATCCCTGGGGCCTGAAAGGGGCTGGCCAGCGGGGGACCAGGTGAAAGGATCTGTCCGGCTTCTCCCCTCCATCAATGCCCACCCCTCTCCATGACTCAGCGGGGCCTAGGCGGCGCACGCCGGCACTCAGCGGAGTTGGCTCACGCCTCCGCTCCGCCTCAGGAGGCAGGCGCAGGGGAGGAGGGGTCTGCCTGCTTTCAAGAAAGTCAGTTTCTCTCCTCCTCTCCCTCCTCCTGTTTGTCTCTGGAGGTTGCTGCTGTTATCTTTTTAATATGTCCCTTCCTTGGTGGAAAGAGAAAGTGCCAGAGGCTCTTAAGAGTGGGGGAGCGGTCTCAGATGGAGGTCCAGCCCCAGCTGCTCTGATAGCCCTCAAATTCAAGAAAGGCGTTCCCATACATCGGCCGCACCCACGGGCCTCCCTTCTACATTCCTGGGTGGAAGGGGGAAATCATGGTTTTAATGCCAGGAGAACGTGCCTTTGGGCGGGTATGTGAAGACAGCACCATCCGCGTACCTCCCTGCATTAGCCAGAACAAGAGCCGTCCGGTGGTAGAGAGATAAGAATGCCGGACGCCACGCAGAGGGCTCTCTTCTAGGGGAGACCACCTCCAAGATCCCCACAGACCAAGGGCAGTGTGGAGCCATGGCAAGGAATCAGAAGAGCTGAGTTCAAATCCTACCTTGGCCCATGTCACTGTCTGAGTGGCCCAGCCACTGGATCGAAAGGGGACCCGAGAGAGGCCATCTAGCCCAACCCCTGTGTTTTACAGATGAGGAAACTGAGGCCCAGAGAGAAGCAATTTGTCTAAAGCCCCACAGTGGCCAGGCCCTGATGTGATCAATCACTCCCTCCCTCCCTCACTTGCTCACCGTACTCTTGCCTCCCATCTAAATCACTTTGGCAGAGCAAACATTAAATCGGTTGCCTTGAGTCCAACCCAAAGAACACCTTCGTTCTGGCATTCAAAGCCCTTCCTGGCTCCAAACTCCCTGTTTACAGCCCTGTTCACTGCCCTCCTTCAGCTTGGACAGCATTTGGGAATGGCTGGCCTGGATAGGACAGCCTTCAAAGCCTCGGGGCCCAGGAAGGTGGTCATCCGACCTGGCCTTTCCCCAGCCCACCCCTAAGATCAAAGACAACACCCAGGTGTGAATGGTCCACAGAGCAGAGAGGCCACCCTCAGACCTTTTGCCACTGTTGATGGGAAGAGATTAGAGGTAAGGAATGGAGAGATGGGGCCCCAGCTGGGAGTCAGACCTGGACCAGCCTGGGGCAAGCAGCTGGGCCCAGGAGGAAATGCACTTTATCTCCTTTGTAAGCACAGTTAGCAGATCACTGGATGCCAGGAGATTCCCTCTCCTGCCACACTTAAGTCAGATGAAATGGATTCCAGAGCAGAGACAATTTTGGGCTTTTGCCTGTGGTTCTCAGAGACCTGACCACGAAGGCAGATAGGAGGAGAGGGCCTGAGGTCTGTAGGAATTCCACATTTACCTCCAGCCACAAACAAGCTCACACCACAGTACCTACCGCCAGCCTGCTCTGGGCACATATGGGCACCACTGAGCTCCGTTGCCCAGGACACGGCTCTTGCCAAATCCCAGAGACTCAGGACTGCCAGGGACCCCTAGTACCTTCAAGTCCAACCCTTGACTGACTGACCAAGAATCTCCCTACTACACGCTGGACAACTGCCCATCTGTCCTCTTTTTGAAGACCTCCATGAACGGGGAACTCACTGCCTCTGAATGAGGATCATTTGGTTCATAGGTTCATGAGATTTGGGAAGAAGGGGACCTCAGAGGGTCCAACCCCTCCATCTTACAGATGAAGAAGATGAAGGTCAGAGAAGAGAAGGCACTGTGCCCAGGCACACAGCTAGTGTCAGAGACAGGGCTTGGACCCAGGTCCTTACTTCCTGTCTGACATGGACCATTACATCATGGTGGCCATGGCTGGGAGGAAGGAAGGAAGGAAGGAAGGAGGGAAGGAGGGAAGAAAGGAAGGAAGGAAGGAAAGAAGGAAGAAGGAAGGAAAAAAGGAAGAGTTTGTTCGATGTAGTAATCAATTTTGCTGATTTTTTTCCTCTTCCTTTTTTTTTAAGAAATTTTTTGTTCTATGGGATGGCTTATTCACCCCTAACCTACACTTGTGGTGACAGACCTGAGGAGGTTTTTCAAAGGGGAAACCAGCCGCAGTGGCAACCATACAGCTACACCTCAAATTCAAGGTGCTAAGGGTAAGCCTGGCTGGGGAGAAGGGGAAGGGATATGCTCCCACTGCTCACTAGTATAGCTGCTGAGCCCCCCTGATGTACTTCCATTTGCACAGAATCAGTCAAAATGATACCATTAAACATAAAATGTTGGCTAAATGAGAAGGCAGGGATAATCCTATCATTTACACATTAGAAGGCAAAAAAGGAATGATCAAAACATCACAATCCTCAGGTCTTCATACAGCGCCCAACGCAGGTGCTTAACACTGATTTAACTGAACAGGACGCCCTTTTGCTTTCCTTCACTTATTCATTC